GGGTGTGGTAGGGGGACCTATGATTATAGTGTAGGCTACCTTACATAGACATTATAATAATATGAGCAATTCAATGCTTCAAGCCCCTACCATGCCGGAAGTCAGATCCACCCAAAACCCCGCATAACTTTGTAGGGTTTAGTAGGGAGTAAGGGAANNTTCTTTTATTCCCTAGTAAGCACCAGTAAGATAATGCAGAACGAGGGGATAGTTTCCCTAAATAGCGGCACCCCAATGTAGACCCCACTATACAGTAATCCTTGTTTTGGGGACCCTCAACAAAGTACCCCTAGTTTGGGAAAACCTAATCCCTAAACCCAACACCCTATATACCCCTAAATACCCCTATATATCATCCGAAATACGGGGATCCCCAACAAGGTACACCTAAACCCTCAACCCTTGGGAGACCCCCAGGTAGTGGCTGAGCTCGTGGATGCGAAAGCAGATGTGAACTACCAGCTGCAAACACCGCTGCTTAGCCCCCCGCATCAAAGCTCAGGGGGTTCAAAAGGTGGGGTATAAGAAATAAGCCCCAACAAACCCTAAACCCTAAACCCTAAAAATAAGAAATAAGCCCCAATATAATATTGTGTATACGAAGGATCCTTTAGCCCATCTACCTACATTTCACCTTTTGAGCTCCCTGAAAAGCTGGCCTCTTCTTGGTGTAGTGTTTTGGGTTTATGGAAGTTGTATAGGGTTCCGGTCGGGAGTTTTGACGAGGTTTTGGCCGACTTTTGGGCGAGTTTCCGTTTGAAGATTGAAATGGATGTTTCTTCAAAACAAGGTTTTTGAGAATTTGTCCCAGCCGTCCTGGCATCCTTCTTGAGAAGCTTTAGGGCTTTGGCTACTGGCTTCAAATGAGCTATAGTCTAAACTGCTTAAAAGGGGGTTATATAGGGGATTAAATAGGGAGTAGTATAGGGGTTATAAGGGGGGATACTTGGAGTTTAGACTATGGCTCAAATGGCTTCATTTTGGAGCCCGAATAAGCAATTGGCTCCAAAAAGCCCACAAGAGTTCCAAAAGACCCAAATTGGCTCCCAAAGGCGCAAGTTAGCTTTAAAAGGCCCGCGATGGTTTCAAAGCTCCAAAGAGCCCAAGATCAAATTGGCTTGAAATGGCCCAACATGGCTTCAAAAGCTTCAGTTGGATTCACTTGGATCCAAGAGGCTCGAATTGGCTCCAAAAGGCACCAGATTGCTTCCGGGAGGCAAAAACAAGCCCAAAAGATTCAAATTGGCTTCAAAAGGTCCAAATTGGTTCGAAAATGCCTAATTTATTTCTAAAGGGCCAAAATGGTTCCAAAAGGCCCCAAATGGCCCCAAAACCTTCTAACAAGCCCAACATGTCGCCAAAAAGCACAAAATGATTTTAACAGTTTAGAATGACCCTGAAAACGGCTAGACAGATGATTGAGTGCTACCCTTACTTAGAGTTTATTTCTGAGAGATCTTTAAAAGGGGTGGGCGAGAATACAATTGCCGTTTATCCTGGCTTGAGGGTTTAGGGTTTAGGCGTTGGGTTTGGGGTTGAGTTTAGGTGGGGAATGAAGGAAAAGTAGAATCCTAGTGCAATCCCAAGAAGCCACGGTTTCATTCCCTAGAAGCAAGAAGCAAGAAGCAGATTTCTGTTTCGGCGACACCGAAACTCTAAGCGCGTTATCTTGGAACCAAGCTGGAATCTTTAAGAAGACCCACGTTGGCCAATGTTGCCTCTGTTGGGCTCTTTCGAAGGGGTCAGATGTTGAGGGGAGTGCTGGAGCCCAAATTCGAGGCTTACAGCTCAGGCTTCAAAACTCTAAGCCCCAAGATCTCCTAGCCAAAGCCATGAAGAATTCGAAGCCGATTATCCCTAGAAGCCACCTAATTCACCCCAGTTTTCATTTAATCTTCCATTGTCTGTTTTTCATTTGGTTCTCCATGATTCCTATATGCCCGCATTTTTTACCCGAAACCCTAACCCTAAACCTCAAGCCCTATAAATCCTAAACCCAAACACCCTCAAAAAGCCTAGTTCCCATTTCATTTTAAATGTTCTTTACTTTCCATTTGGGGGCCGTCCTAAAACCCTTGTT